CCAGGATGAAGGACCACCGCCTCCCTAAGATCCTGCTTTATGGTGAACTTGCCACCGGCTGCCACAAGAGAGGAGCTCCGAAGAAAAGATACAAGGACTCCCTGAAGCAACAACTCAGCCTCGAGCATATTAATCACCATAACTGGTCTACTCTGGCCTCTAATCGGGAGGCCTGGAGACAGACTATTTATAACGCTGCTGATGCTTTTGAGAAAGCCCGCAGGATCACCCTTGAGGAGAAAAGACAATGCAGAAAGAATCGAGCCTTGCAGAATATATCATCTAAGGAGTCTTTCTGCTGTGCCTTTTGCAACTGGACTTGCCTTTCTCGTATTGGCCTTTTTAGCCACCAACGCGCTTGCAAGAAAAGTGGGTAGAGCCCTTCCCAAATCTTCGTTCGCGAAGCCTAGCCATGATGATTAGGCTGTGACCCCTGGGGCTGTGGGCTGTGACCACTGGTGACTGGCCTCCAGCTGGATTTCACGCTGTACAGATTCATAAAAGGGAAATCAATGCTTGACTAGTCTGATAGCCTTGTATGATGAGATGATTGCCCCAGTGGGTGCGGGTAGAGTACTGGAGCTTGTTTATCTCAAATTTACTGAGGCTTTTGGCACTGTCTCCCATAACGTCCTCATGAAGTACAGGCTAGGTAAGTTTCAGTGAGTTGGACTGAAAACTGGATGAACTGCTTAGGCTTACACAGTTGTGCATAAAATCCAGCCAGAGGCCGATAACTAGAGTCCCAGAGTGAATGGTCCAAAAATTGTCCCAGACTGAACGGTTCAAAAATTGTCCCATATCTTTATTACTGACCTGGGTGATGGGACAGAGTGTACCCTCACCAATACTGCAGGCAATACAAAATTGGAAGGAGTGGTTATGCTGCCAGAGGGTTATGCTGCCATTCGGAGGGAATACAATGAACTTGAGAAATGGGTAAACAGAAACTTCATGAGATTTGACAAGGTAGAATTTGAAGTCCTGCACCTGGGGAAGAACAACCCCAGGAACCAGTACAGGTTGGGGGATGACAGCTGGAAAGCAGCTTTGTAGGAAAGGACCTGAGGATACTGGAGAACAAGCTGACTGTGAGCCAGCAATGTGCTCTGCTTTGAGGAAGGGGTTTAGACAAGATGATGTCCAGAGAGAGAGGCCTTTCAACCTCAACCATTATGTGATTCTGAAGCACATGAAAGTGAAATAATAGCCCACTAAACAAACTGAACTAAAGGCATAAGCTCTCGTGCAGATTTTCAAACTCCTAATTTTGGCCTAACAAAGTAACTGGGAAAACAGAACCAAGGGACATACATATTAGATAACCTCAATGTACTTGGAAGCTGGCATACTGGACTGAAGTTTTTGTAGCTAGGTCATGTGAAATGATGAAGGAGATAAAGGAGAGTACTGGAGTAAACTACAGCAGTGCACAAGGGCAACCAAGGAGTTTAGACTGAACTGTGAAGTTTTTGCTCATATTAATATAGATTTATTATACCATGAGTGTACCTGAAGCACCCTTCAGGTCACAAGTCATTCCTCAGCATTGTCTGTGCAACAAACTCACACTGTCATTTAACAGTTGTTTGAGTTCCTTTTCACCTCTTTTCTTTGGCACAAGGTGTATATATACCGACAGTACTTCAGTGCTGCAGTTACCCCTGGTCCAAGTTTAGCTCTAGTATGTATATTGCCTCATCACAAACCTTTCTGCATTGCTGGTTTCCCAACCCCATGCGCAGAAGGGGAAATGTTCCCTGAAAGAGATCTTAAAAGACTAAGAGATGCATGTGCCACTGCAAGAGAGCCTGCCTTGACAGAGCTACTTAAGGGCAGAACAGTGGGACAGATATTGTGTAGCCCTCTTGCTAGCCTCCTTAGATGCAGCTTCACTGCAGAAGAGACAGGTTCAAGCCTGAGCTCAAACACAGCTGTGATTTTAACCCAAAAGTCTGACTGTGCAAACAACTTCAACTTCGAAATCCAAGTACACATATTCTTGTTAGTCCTTCATAGATTCAGAGGTACTGGAGAAAACTGTATGTAGAAGTGGACATTAAGACCGCAACACAAACAAATGTGAGTGGTAAGGATGAAACAAAAGATTGCCTTCAGACACATTTTGTTTGGCGGTCTGCAGTGTATTGTTTTGACAAGACTGTTACACAGGAACACAAGGTTTCTTCTTGTTTCCTTGCATCTTCCTCAGCAGTGGTTAACATATTACAGCTAATCAGGCTGTACATTGGTGCCAGGATTTACCCTGAAGTTGCAAAGGTAGTTAAAAACAGATATTGAAAAGCAGAGCACATGCTATTTCTGGTTGACTGCTGGTGTTAGATGACCACTGCTGTTAAAGGAACATGCATATCTATATACATAAATGACAAAAAAGGTGTTTGAGGAAAATGAGTAAACGCTTTATGATAAAAGAGAACAAAAGTTAGTGAAGATGATAACTATAGTGAAAGGTTTCTGGAAGCAGATACTACCTTAGTGTTTCATCTACATCATGTTTCACTAAACTTTGCTTAGGCTTTAGAGAGAGCTAAGAACCACACAGAAACCACAGTGGTCTTCAAGACGTGAGAGGTTCCAGGTATGTACAGACAGCCAGGGGTTTACCCAATAGATCACTGGGACAGCAGTTTTATCATTTCCCCATCCCCTCTCTGTTTCACTCACCTCTCAACAAGATATTTCCTGCTACTTGCCCCTTTGCACTCTTGCTCCTCTCAAATTGTAACATCATTCATCTTCTGTGGAGACACTTCTCCCTAACTTAAATTTCTGGCAGCCAGTTTAACTCACTGTTATTGAACCAACTTAAAGGGGACTACAAGATCTCAAGCTAGATAAGTATCTTATCCTGCATAAAACATTTTAAATTCAGAATTGAAAATAAACAGAATCCTTCCATGAGAGGTATTCCATTAGGATCAGCCCCAGTTCAAATCTTTTTACTGAAGTAATAAAAGGACAAATCAAATATGCAGTGCCTCTGCAGCTGTGCCCCAAATTATAGACTTCAAAATGAAATTGATTTCTGTTCTTAAACATTCTTCCATTTCTTGGAAGTTCAAAGGAAGTTTATATAGAATGGGACACCACCAGCTTCATTAGAATCCATTTAAAAGTGAATGTCCACTATTTGTTCCCAAATCAACCTTTTACAGCTTTGTTTAGATACATCCTCAGCATATCAAGACAATGAAGTATTCCTACAAAATGAGATGTTCTTAAGTTAACTGCAGAGAGACAGAGCAGGTGAGCAATTCCAGAAGGGAAAGTAGTGGCATGCAGGAAAAGCCCAAGACTGGATAAACTAAGTACAGCACCTGATCCACCTCTTGAAACTGGGACAAATGTCTTTTTTATCACAATACATTCTTCCTCAGAAAAGGACAATGGCATCAACAGAGCTGATTTTGTCACAGAGAAAATGTGCAGAATTAGGTCTATCAACAACTCACAGCCCTGTCAATGGAGCCTCAAGTTGTGTTTTAAAAATACAAGTGCCCCCCCTTCTGGCCAATAAAGACTCCCAAAAGTGGCTTTGCAAGATATTTTGGGCTAATTTTAAAATGCAGTTTAGTTTATAAAAGTTAATTAGACTTGTTCTAAGACATAAACACTCAGTCAAAGCACAGAACTTCCACTGAATTTCAAAATATTTCTACACTTATTTAAAAAAGTGAAGGTTTTCCTTTGCTTATGCAATGCTATATTTTGGGCTAAATATATCTATCCATCAGTTTCTTAAGATAATAAGGAAGTTGTAACAACTCTGAGTGTTATTTTGTGTCACAGGACCAGGCTTCCCATAAGTGTTCAGACGTGCAAGGGCTTACTTCGTGAGGAATGGTGCCAACTCAGGCCACTGAAAGTGATACAGTGACATCTGTGCCATGCTCAGCCATGCCAGGGGAATTGCTGTTAGCCCCAGACCAGGATGCTTTAGGTGGACTAAAGCACTAACCTGACTACCTGTCAGGTTGGTGGTTCATAAAGGTGATCAGTTCACAGATAGCAGTGATGTAATGATGCCAATGCCTCAATTTATAGCTTGGAAGGAAGGCTACTGAAGGGAGAGTAATTGCTGGAATACAAATATTTTAATGACAGCTTTTTAAATGACTTTTCAAAATAAATCTCATGAACAATCCAGATACTCATTGGATAACAGCATAATGCTGGATAACAGCATTCAGCAAGAGGACAAGAAGCCAAAAAATGACAAGCAAGCTCACTGCTTCTGTACAAGTCAGGTCCTTTCAATCTGCAAGGACACATAATTGAGGAAGGTAAACTCTGGGTTTTCTCCTCTCTTTCTGAATAAGATTTTTTTTTAGTTTAATTCCTATATCCTTTTCCTGATATTGAAATCATAAATTACAATATATAAAGTTATTTTTTTTTCTCCTAAGTAGTTACTCCTAACTGATACAGTAATAAGGACAAGATGGAAAATGCCTCTACAAGCAATGTCACAGTTTAGTGCAGCCTCAATGAAAATTCATGGCAGAAATAACCTAAGCAACACTGAAATACACTGCTTACATGTGCTGTTCAGGTATTTTGTATTAATAGTTTTCTGCCTTTTGAAAAGGAATACTAGCAAATAGCAGAAATATTACTTTTGTTTTGTTTTGTTTTTTTGTTTGTTTGGTTTGTTTTGTTTTTTTAAAAAAGCATAATTCTGTGCTACAAAATTTGGTACCACTGAACAAGTTATTTCTGGGCTTTGTCCTCAGCATCAACATATTGAGAAGTAGATGAATTAAATTGCTTAAATGGCAAATCTTAGGTTTAAATCAAAACGATGGCTGCTTTTGTTAATTCAACATATCTTCAGAGCCAGCCAGTAGTCTGATGCATGCTCCTTAACACACCTGCATTGTTAATATTAGCATATCCTGTGGATTTCTGCCTTTTAATTGCTATAACTTTTCTACGTGAAAAATTAAGTAACAAAAAGTATGAATGTTTCTAAATACCTGATTAATTATCTGTTGTTGCAGCTTTTTTCCAGACTCTGAAAGAGAAAGAAAAGAATTAGTTTGTACATATTTTAATGAAGATGATAGTGGACATGCCACTATCAATATACATGCCGCAGAACAATACACAGTGAATTAATAAAAAAATAATCGAACCTTATAATTAAGAAACAGAATTTAACATGTAGAAATTACTTGAAACTTCAAAATGGAAATCAACCTAAAATAAAAGAAACACAAGCCCCTCTTAATCAAGATGTGATAAAAAGACAATTGATATAGGGTAGCCAATCTTGCTAAGCTGGAACCACAAAGAAATCACAAAATTTAAAGGGGAGGCAACAAATTTCAAATATGTGCTATGAAGCACCTTAATATTGTGAGAGTGTACTATGTGCTGGAGAAACTAGTAACATCCAGCTCAAGATCTGACCACTGGAGGAGGAAAGCAACTTCTGCCATTACCTTAAAATAAAATTACGTGTCTGTGTCAAGACTGAGATTTGGCACCAGCTGGCTCAAGTGAGAAATTCTATCCTGATAATATCCACAAAGCGGCAAGTTGAGTGATGGTTTTGTTTCCTTACTCTGGCCTTCTTCTGCAGCATCCTTCAGTGTGCTCCTGGAGATATAATCAGAGCCTGGACAACGCACTGCTTTCTACAGCCATCTGGGACCCTAGCAGCAAGGACACCTCAAAACTATTCTTTTCTTTTCAACCAATTTTGTCTCATTTACTGCTCCCATGCACTAGATGTCAAAAGGGCAGCTGGTATCAATTACCTTCCCTTTGCTACTGGAGACCATCCACACGTATTGGGGAAAGTCAGGAATTTCACACTTGCCTATCCAACTAGGCTACGTGCACCTGGAGGGTTTTTAAAAATAATAATGATAGGAGACACGACTTACAACCTGTCAGTATCACTACTAACTGTCAGGGGAGACTGCCTAGCATGGGTGGTTGCCACCTCCAGCACTGGAAATGATACTCCCTTTCAAGAGAACTTTTCCATACTAATATGTGTGGCACAAACAGAATTTTTAAAATTAGGTGTAAATATTTAAAGTGTTAAAATACAGTATAAAGACTCTATTTAAAGGAAAATGATCTTCCCTACTCATCCCTGAGACTACTACTCTTTTCAATGAAAGCATTATAGATAATTCAGATAAAGATAATTACTTTAGGCTATATTATAAGATTGTCTCTTATGATAATTACTTCCTGCATGCTTGTGTTGTGTTTTTATTTGCTAAATATAAAAATTATCCTTTTTTTAGCTAAAAACCCTCTACACAACTATCATTTAGGGGAGACTTAAAATGTATTCCCTTGTTCACTGAGTTCATCTTTGGGAGAAATAAGATTTATTCTTGTAACTAATATTTTAACCAAATAGATTGTTGGTAATAGAAGATTAAAGGAGTATGTGTTTTTAGCATTCTCTAATGATATACAAGTTGCTAGGAAAGCAGAGTGTTTGAAATCTCTGGTTAGATCAACACTATTTTGCTCAAAGGTTTGTGGACTTTGAATACTGATGCTTTCCTGTTTCCCAGTACATTTGTTTTTAGGCTATTTTGATTCACTTTAAAGGAATTTTAATAACTTTCTGTTGACAGCATGGACAGCTGGTCTTGAGAATTAGTGAAAATTCACTTGCTGACTGAGGAAGGAAGTGACATCAATGAGTTTCTAAAGTCAGCCCCCAGGGAAAAGTGTGCTCCGCCAAAGTAGCCTTTCATGCCATTGTATTTCCAGTGATGCCTTGAGATGCAAATTGCATTATCAATCAAACTTGTGGTTTCTACCTCAGACAAATATAAAAAAAGAACACAAAGACTGTGAAAGACCTTTGCAGCCATTCCTGACACTGCTAAGAAAAAGGTGAAGAGGAGTTTATGGTAGTTCTTTCCTTGTTCTCTTTTCTTTTGATGATTTAAATGTAAGTATCAAGGAAAGGGCAGTTGCAGAAGTGTCTGTATGATACGACAGCAATGGGTTAAACAGGACAGAGATTGACTAGGCTGTTAAGGGTAGAAGAGAGATCAAATTCAAGGTCACCAGCAAATTGAATACTGTGTTTTCCATTTATTCGCTAGATGATCCTTGTCCTCATCACAGAACAACTTTGTGAATTTGGCATAGTCAGCACTTGTTCTTAGAAGGGACCAAGGTCTGTAATAACAGACATGCTGCAAATTAGGGTGGAAATATATTGGCACCATTATATGGGGAAGCCTGCAAAGTCCTGGCCTGTACTGTACTACTGTTTTGGAGAAACATCACGAGAAGCAGTGAAAAAACAAGAAAAAATATCTACAGTGCTGAAGGGGAATCAGTTTCCAGCTGCCAGTGACTAACAGAAGGGAAAGAGAAGGCCATTGAAACTAGGCAGAATTTTGTTTGCCCTGTTTTGTTTTGGGTTTTGTTTGTTTTTTGGTTTTTTTTTGTTTGTTTGCTTTTTAAATCCCCAGAATTCTCCTATAATGACTTTGGTCCTCTCAATTTTGAGAAGGATGTTTCTGTCTAGGTGCTGTGGGATCACTTGTGGTGACCATCAACATTCACAAGAGGGATTAAAGAAACTCCACTGAAAAAAGTGCTCCAAATTCAAAGGATGTGAGGCAATGGGACACTGATGAAACAAGAATTGCCAGAACATGTCAGCCAGTCCTACAGCAACACCTGTGCCAGTCTCATGAAATGCAGGTAATACTTCACACTTGCAAGAAGCTTCATTTCTGGCAGATGTACATATTCTAAATTTAAAACTTATGACAGTTTTTCCTGAGCCATTGCAATGAGGTAGCAGCTTATGCAAGAACATCAAACTAACCAGGAAATGTACTGCCATCTGAAAACTTATGTGGAAGCTGCCCAGTAGGTAGCTGGTGTAGTCAAGAGCATACCTTCCACAACTCAGACTGCTTGTGAATGGCTTGCTCTTCTCCTATATTTCTTCTGAAATTCATTTTTCTACCTGTCCTCTGGCAAACTGTTCCTAAATGGGCTCAATAGTACCACCTGTCCAGCCTTAAAAACACAAGCAAATCAAAAGGCCTTAATTATAGTCAACTACATTTGCCTGCAACTTTGTGATTCAAAAGTTGTATTTACCAGTATAAACTACGATTCTTATTTGCTGAGGCTGTGCTTTCATGCCATGCTAACTGAGGCTAAACTGCTGCAACTGGATTCCAATGATATTTTTGCATCAGGACTGGAAAACATACCTCTCCCAATTAATTTTTACTGATTTTTTTTTTGTCTCTCTGCTTGCAAAAAGTGTAATGGATGGTTGACTGGTGGAGATAAATGGCCTTCTTGGGTTGACCTCAAGCTATATCACTTAAAAAAATATTACAACAAACATTGTTTAAAAAATTTCTCTCTATTTTCATTCCCTAATTAGTATATTAATTCCTGTTTCCAGGGCAAGTTGGGTTTTTCAATTTTTTTTTTTTGTTGCTTGTCCTTATTATAAGATCATCTTACTGAAAGCAATAATATATGTTTTCTAATGTAACTGACAACTGCAAGAAATGAGAGTGTGCCTTAATTGCTGCTGTCACCAGGAATGGCAACACTGACTCCTCAGCCTTATGCACACAACCTACACAGAGAACAACACGTAATTATGCACACTATGCCCTGCTTACCTCCATACAAAGGAATGTGATATTTGTGCAGGTTTACAGATTAATCTTCTGTAATTCCCTTTAATGTTAAACTACTTCCAGCTCAAATATAATTAAGATCACCAGGTACAAAAGATTCTGATTGGAAATATGAGTACACCCCAACAGAACAAATAACAGCTTGATGCTGTTTCTTATGTTCAAACAGTGGGATATATTAAGGATTTTGACAGCATGTTTGTTCCCTAAGTATGTAGAAGATAAAACAAAGGTTTCATTTCAAAAGGCAAACCACTACTAACTGTATTTAATTAGAGAGCAAAATCCCTTAAATATACAGATCTGCCAATTTATGTGACATGACTGCTACAAGACCTAGCAACAAAGGATTTTAATTTTTTTTCCTTCCAAAAATCAAATCCCAATTTATACTTCAAGCAATGTCAATAAAATAAAGGCTGTAGAATAAAAAGTTTGCTTCCTTAAGTCTTCAGACAATTCTACTCCTATTTGTGGCATGGCAGCAAGGCAGGGGATGAACAGAAATTTTGGGTCTGTCTCCCTGTTCTCAAGTATCTGAGGGTTTCCAAGCACGCTGAGAAAAGTGTGGAGATCTCAGAGGGCAAAGGGGAACCTCAGCCTTGCTCTGAAACAGTAACATGCATAGTCTGACACAGACATCACTCAACTTCAAGTGGGAATGGTATTACTAAGAAATCAGTTGTGAAGAGGGAATTCTATGTTCTAATACCAATTTAATTTTGTTTTTCCACTTTGTGAGACAAACACACACTAACAGCTTTGTATTTTACTTTATGTTTATAGACTTAAATAAACACATATGCAACCTATTCAATTATGATCCACCCTACTTTCATTACTGGTGTCCTAATCAACCAGAGTGGATTTTGAGAAGTAAAAGGAAACCAAAGCACTCCTTTGTGATAAACTTCTGCAGCAATAATCCATGGCACCCGAGCCTGAGGAAGAAACACTCAGAATTGTTTTTCGGACTTACAACAGACACAGTGTGACACCAACAGGTTATCTCCTGTGAAAGCCTGAAACTTGGCATACAAAGATTAAAATATTTAGGATATTTCCTATAAATTATTGGCAGAATCTCAGAGGTCTGTAAGCAACAGAGCAGTTGTAGATCTGCACAGCATTTCCTTCTTCTTCTAACAAGGAATTCAGTAAACTGAAAGTGCTCATTTACAGCATTGCCTTCAAAACCTAGTTTAGCTTACTTTTGTACCTCTGTGATAATTATGCAACTGAATATGCTTACAGTGGCCTAAAATATATTAATCACATCTTCTTGGTATTGCATAATCCTTCTCAGTTGTCACAATGCCAACTCATAAGTTGCCCTGGCAGTAGGAAACAT